TTAGATTCAATACTTACATGCTCAAAAAAAAGATATTTATTTAGATTTTTTGAATATCCTCTTTATTTTTAACAACATTTTGGCATAAATTAAATTTATATAAAAAGCAATTACCTACCTATTACCTTATAACTTTGATCATTTTCTCTGAACATTTAGTATTTGGCGTAGCTCCAATAAAATCATATGTTATTTAAAATATTAATCATTAAGTTTAATACTTAACATTGAGCAATAAAACCTTTGTTAAAATTACTCAGTTTTTAGTATTTAGATTTGAATAATCAAACTATTAAAATAATGACGATTGTTAAATTTTCATTGGAATTCTGATGGCTTTGTATTAAAATCTGGATATTACATTCTGTAAATTAGTTAATTTTGTAGATTGTGGATTGCAACTAATATCATATAGATAACTAAAATATCCTATCCCTATTTTTATAATTCTTAAAATTTAACTTTAATCAAATATTCGATTATCTTAAATATTTCTTTTAATTCTTATTAATCTTTCGTTTAGAAATTTTTGAAGCAAAGAAAAAGGAATTTTTATTTTTCAAATTCAATAGAGTACATTATGCCTATTTCTATTCATCTAAAAATATTTTGCAACAAAAAATTAATCTTCTTATTATACTTTCAAAATAATCAATAAATGATTCTGATTCTTCGATTTATTAATATAGAAAAACTAAATTATCTAATTAAGAATTAAATCTTTCAATTTATTTCTCTAATAATTATAAGTTATTATTTTCTATAACAATTTCATAATCCTAAATAGTTTTTTCTTTTATTTTTTTTAAAGATAACTTTTAATAGAAATCAAAAAGGTTTATTTATTGATTTAACTGACCATTTCAAAAAAGATACTAATAGTAATTGAAACTTAGGAATACCTTATTGTTCAATTATCCTCTATGTTAATAATTAAACTATCATTGATATCCACTATAAGAATGGTCAAATTGTCTTAAATGTTAGATTTTTTTAAATTGCTTTACAATAGATCATTTATGAGTTTGGAATAATTAATAAGTAGGATAAATCTCTTCAGAAAATAATAATTTATTTTTATAATATAAATTAGACATTTAGCTTCTTCAATAAGATTTGTGATTAAGTGTTTAGTGGATGACATTTAAAAGGCTTATTATCCTATATTTTTAAAGAAATTTTCATTATAAATCTTATCCGAATTTTGAATTGGTCTGACCTGTATTCCGCACTTTTTTACTTATTCAATTTTAAATTACACTTGAAATTCTTGCAAATCATTCAAGAATTGTTATTGCTTTGCTAAATCCATAAATCTATTCTCTTTTTTTTTAAATGACCAATTTAAGTGTGGCTTTAATATTGATGATATTGAAATAAAGATGTAGATTTTATAAAATCACTAGGTAGATTATCTTTTTATTCATAAGGTATTTTTTCTTTAGATAAAGCACCTGTCAGTTTATTAATTGTTTTCTTTATATTATTGGCATCCTCCTATTATTAAATTAAGTATAAAGTATGAAGTTATTTGATTATAACCAACTTAATTTGATTAATTAAATTTTGACTTTTAAGGTTCAGAAATCATAACATTTGAAGCAACACTATTATCTTCACATTCAAAAGAAATTTATGAGTTAAAATAAATTTTTTTAATTAAGGATTATATTGAAAATATTTATTATTTGAATAATAATAATTAGGTTTCAATTTTATATTATAAATATCTCTTATTAATTTATTTACCTAAATTTTGTTATTTTTAATAATGATAATACAGTGAATTGGAGCATTTGAGGAATAAATTTACAAACGGAATATATTATTATACTAGCGATGTAATAAAAATTAAAATTATAACAATTTAAAGATCAAACTTTAATAAATTTTACAATCGAAATGAAAACTAGTTAACTTAATTTTTATGTATTTTAACTACCGTTCTAATAAAAAATATTTAAAAAATGGTTCTAGAATCTCGTCATTAAAAATATATCTGTTAGTATATAACATTACATATGTATAAATATTAATATATTACAAAAATATATTTAATAGAAATTCAATTTTTCATTTTTTATAATTCTTCTAAAGAAGTTTAAAATCGAATTAAAGAATTATCCAAAACTAATTCTTCCTTCAAAGTATCTAATTATTTTAGAATCATTCATTTCTTTAATTTAAAATAAAAGTAATTTTTATATTAATGATAAAGTTTACATATTATAAATAAAAATATAAAATAAATAATTTAAAAAGTTAATTGTATTTATTTTTTTATTTTTTAGTTACTTTATTTTTAGAGTAATTTTTCAAAAGCATTTAATCAAAGCTGCAATAAGTTTTAGAAAAAGAGGAATATTAAATAAAACATATTTTATATGATTCCATTGATATGATATATAATATCAAAAAATTATTCCTATTTCGATTATTGAAAATTACATAAAATGAATGTTATTCTTGATTTAAGGAAGCATGAAAGCAGATTTATTTTCTATTTCATTTCAGGAATTTTATTTAAAATTATTAAATATTTAGTTAAGATTAAATGTTTAGAGATATTGTTAAATTTTGTGGGTTTATACTGACAGCCTTTTGGTTATATATTAAAAATCAATTAAATTTAATTAAATTATGGTATATGTTGATGGCAAGCATTTAGAAATGTTTAAATTCTGTTTATTTAATATAAATAAGTATTAGTGATAATTTTTTTAGTAACTTAATTTCTTTATTAAATATTTATTTTAATTACTATCTTGTTATTTCTCTCCTGGTAAATTAGTACCCATAATGCTCAATATTTCCATATAAATTTTTATTATTGACTATTGGATTCNCCAACCCCCAACCCCAAACCCAACCCCAACCCCAAACCCGAAAAAGATATGCAAATTTATACTAGAAAAGTTAATAGCTAGTCATTTTGATAACTTCTGATGCTTCTCTTTTATAAAAGAAATTTTGTAAGCTAAATACATTATGTAAGGAAATTTTATTTTTTTTTCTGTACTCAGATTTATAATAGGATTATTCTACCCCTAAATTAACAATATAAAATTTATCCTATCCATGTTATGGATTGTTCCTGGATTTGATTGCCAGAATTAAGGTTTATTTGGAAGTTAGATAGTGATAGTGAACATGAGAAGATTTTTCTGTAGGAAATTTCTTAGAATATTTAATTTTTTTAATTGATGGCCTGCTCTGGTTGGAAGTTTCTAGAAAAAGGTCGATTATGATTATAACCATAATAAATAAATAAAAAGTTAATTGTATTTATTTTTTTATTTTTTAGTTACTTTATTTTTAGAGTAATTTTTCAAAAGCATTTAATCAAAGCTGCAATAAGTTTTAGAAAAAGAGGAATATTAAATAAAACATATTTTATATGATTCCATTGATATGATATATAATATCAAAAAATTATTCCTATTTCGATTATTGAAAATTACATAAAATGAATGTTATTCTTGATTTAAGGAAGCATGAAAGCAGATTTATTTTCTATTTCATTTCAGGAATTTTATTTAAAATTATTAAATATTTAGTTAAGATTAAATGTTTAGAGATATTGTTAAATTTTGTGGGTTTATACTGACAGCCTTTTGGTTATATATTAAAAATCAATTAAATTTAATTAAATTATGGTATATGTTGATGGCAAGCATTTAGAAATGTTTAAATTCTGTTTATTTAATATAAATAAGTATTAGTGATAATTTTTTTAGTAACTTAATTTCTTTATTAAATATTTATTTTAATTACTATCTTGTTATTTCTCTCCTGGTAAATTAGTACCCATAATGCTCAATATTTCCATATAAATTTTTATTATTGACTATTGGATTCTCATTTCTTTTTTCGTACAAGAAAACATCAAATAGTTGAGGAGTATATTTAATTGAAATAGCCTGAAGATTTGGTAATGCCTTTTAATTAATGAATTGATTTTCTTTCAATATTCCATTTGAATTTTCAACTCCAAATTTACAAAAAATTTTAAGTTCAAGCATCTTAAGTTTATTAGATGATTATGCAATAAATTTTTATGTAATAACTATTATTTTTACTTGATCCAGTATGAAAGTATGAATATTTGAACAAAATGAATCATTAATGTCTAGAGCAGGAATAAAGGACAAGCAACCGTAATCTCTAAATAGATGCTTTATTAAAGAGATTAAATCCTCTTAATTTTAGATGGAATGAGATATTTTTTTTTGGATTTTTCGACTAGAAGATTACTTTAATGTTTAAGAAGAATAGTTTAATAAAATATTTACTACAGCACTAAAAATCAAGAAAAGAAAAAAGGTGGACTATATATAATTTCGACAATTAAACAAAATCGTTGAAAATAAAATACCAATTATTTTGAAATTCACAATATTTTCCTACAATAAATAAGGATATACTATTTTGAATTCTAAATACGATTCAAATTTATTCATTTGAAACCAATTCCTTGATTATTTCTTCATTACTTTACTTATAAGTAAGTATTTAAAACTTGAGAAAACAGGAAAAAAAAATTTTTTAAATAAATTTACAATACTATTTTTAAAGTTATATGAATTATGGATTATTTCTTCAAATTAAGAGTATTTATTTTCAAATAAGAATAATAGCTGGAGAATTAAATCATAAAATATCTATTATTTAATATGTTGAAGTATATGTGAAGGAATAGTAGTAATAAAATCTATTCATTCCATTCTTAAAAGAAATACTTAATATTGATAAATCTTTATCAAAAATAGATTAAAAAAGGGAAATATTATAAATAATTATAACTTTTTTTTCTTAAAACCTCAACGTTATCAGAGGAATGGAATTGCTATAAAAAATATAAATATATATTGTTATAATCAATTATGTTTTCACTAAATTTTATTAGCTTCCAAAATTAATTGGATATACTAATCTTCATTATGATTGTACTATCAGGAAAATAAGAATCTTAATTAGATAGACTCAGTAATTATATTCATTCAGTATACTACTCTCTTGTCATCCAATAAAAATCTAGAGAGAAGCATACCAAATAAACCCATATAGTATGTCTATTTAATGAAAATTTTTATTTTCCTGATGCATATAGTTCTTTAGATGGATCTTAATGTTCTTCCATTTCCAAAAGCACCATTAAAATTGACTACACTGATATCCACATTTTCAAATTCTGATCCATTCATATTACATCTTACAAAGTTTCCTCCAATCAAAGATGTATTCTTCATCCTAATATTTTCAAATGATTTATTTCTAAGATCTACCTTCATCAAGACCAATAAGTGAAATAAATTGGATCCAAATTAGATCATCTATACTTGTAAGCATGACTAAAAATTTTAGTAACTCAATCATGCTCTTATTACCTTACAACTTTTTAATCAGATCCTTTTTAATCTCTTCAAATGCTTCTGAGGAATAGTCTTTCTGATTAAATTCATGGTCTTTTATGTTCTTCAGAATATGTATTATCTTCTTCATTTGCTCCTTCTCCTTTTGTTCTTAATATTTAAATGATTAGAGATATGCCACACAGTCTTTGATTTACTCCTTCTTGAGCATATCTAAGAGTTTCTTAAATATTGATGATGAGTCATCATCATCAATAATGATCTAATTAGCATTGGCTAAAATTTATCCGAGATCTTCCTATCTCTCAAATACCTCATGCTCTTCTTGTACTACTACTTGCACCTTCTATTATTACAAACATCTATTATAAATAAATAAATTATACCTAAATGATTTGGTCTCATCAGGAGTGATATTGATGATCATTTTTATTTTTAATTGAGGAGCATCCGGTAATTTTAGAACTTCGGTACTTGTTCTTTGGTCCTTCTTCTATTCAGGTGCTGGCTTTAAATACATTTACTCGTAAATGGAGTCAATGGCTCCATTGACTCTATCGTATGATTCCTAAGATGGTAAAAAATTGTTACATCTATATATTGATCGAAGGTTTGGATGCTCTTTTAGCTCTTCTTAATTCTGTTCCTAAAAGGATACAGATTCCCTTTCTTAAAAGGAAAATATTTAAATTAATGATTTGAAGAAATAATCTTCTATTAAGTTTTATATGTAGAATTTAGATCTATATAGATTAATATCAATTATTTTTTCAAAGTATATGTCTTTTGCCTCTAAATACAGTACAGTTTAAGTTGAAATATATAAAAATATGATGTTACCTAATTTTATTTAGAATATCTTTTAGTTGTGCTAACAGAAGAATTAGCCTCACAAATGGAATTTTCAAATATGAGCTAAGAAAAGGAATAAGGTTAGGAGCTTATGAGGCAGTGCATTTGATAGGGTTTCCTCTAATTTTTACTAGCCATAAAAGCATGTTGAGGAATCTCTCTAATAAGTCACAATATAGATACAAGTTCATTTTAATCATACAGTCCTTTTTGTTCGGTATTATGATGGTAATGAGGTAAGATGTAGTCTCAGGTCATTTATAAATGCTTAATAATTCTTTTTGATCCTAAGTGCCATAGCAATTAATTGCATATAATTTAATTGGTATACCATTAATTTTTCTTCTATATCTAATTGTGAAATGTGCAATTTTTTGGCTATCTTCCTTTGAATAGTATGATATAACTATATGCATTTTATTTAAAGATAGCTTTCGTTAAGGAGAAAAGCAATCTAGATGTAAAATGATTTCAATATTATTTCATTTAGTAAATTATCAAAAATGAAGTTTGACAGGTGTCTTACTCTATTATCATTATTTGATTACATTTTGATAGCTACAGCACTTTATTTTTAACTGGTCTTCGGATTCTTAAGTCAAATAAAATGAGGAAAACTCCTTAGATTTAGTAGAGAAAAATAAAAATTTTAAATGTGTTAATTTTATCACCTATGTTTTTATAAATGTTAATTTAATAGTCTATATATTTTATTTCAAAAAACTTAGGATTTATACTCAGCTGTGAGTATTAATAGATGTTTTCAGGTCCATGTTTAATTCTATTGGTGGCAGTTTGGGCTATCAAATTATGATGCTCATTTGAATTTTTCTTCATTTTTCCTGTAATATCTTTTTTGGTTTTGGGATATAATATTAAATAGTCGACAAAGTTGCCTTCTAAACTATTTTAGATTCTTGTTTTGAGTATATTTAATTAACTTTATTATTTTAACTACCAATATAAACACCAAAGTATTTTAATTAAACCTTCCATACTAGAGCAGAAAAATTATGTCTATCCAAGGTCATCAAAGGATTCCTTCTCTCAAGAAAATATTTGTATTTTTATTCTTATTCATTCCAGTGGGCTTCTTAAGCAATAATCATTTAGAAGCAATAAAATCTTTTTATTACTTCTAAGAATATCCTAAAGGATTCTTTCGAATGTTAAAAGATTTAAAGATAATCATTTATCATTTGAGCCTTATTTCATATCGATTTCTTTAACTGGACAATTGATTAGGACTAGCAAGGCCCTAAATTAAATACTTTTTTATTGTTTAATTAAAAAGCGCTCTTTGAAGGTATTCTTTGGCATAATTAGAATTGGGAATGTTGATAAACTTTTGCTTTCTTCATTTTACGAATTATCATTTGGAGACTATCATGTTATCAATGATTTTCTATTTGAAGCAGGTTGGAGTTGGGCTTAAATTACTTTCACATGGATGTTAATGTAACTTGAATGTGAATTAAGAATTAAAAAAATAAATGAAAAAGCAAAAAATTTTAAATCAATTAATTAAAAATCATACAATTTTCCTCTTTTTATTGAGGTAGAAATAATGTCCAAGTAATTTTTTTTAAGTAGATTTCTTTGTTTAAAGTTTATATTTAAACAAAGGTAAGCAGCTTATTATTAAAGTTAAAGCTGTAAATTGATTATTATTTAGAAATATAAAGAATGTTTATGTAAAATATCATCACCAACTAAATAAATGTATTATATTCTTTATTTGACATAAGCAGAAAAAAAAGTTTTATTTGCAAAAAAAATTGAGATTTAATTATTTAAGAACTTAACATGTAATTGCAACTATATAAATAAATAGATTCTTTTGTTAATTCTAAATTTATTAAGCACTTTGGCTGCTTTATCCCTCTTTATGATTTTATTCTGAAAAATGTCATATTAACTAGATAATTTGATTAGGAATATTTTTAATAGGACCATATGATTTTTTGTGTAATTATTATTAACAACCATTTTTCTTGTTGATGACTAATTTATAAGAGTTATTTTTATCTCATCCACTTTGATTAAAAAAAGCATTTGAAAAGACACCTGACTTTAATATTTATATTCCACTTTTTCGAAAATCTTGTAAGAATTATTATGATGATTGGGTCATTTTGTACTTTAAGTTAACAATTCCTCAACTAGTGAGAAAAAAAGGTAACTAACATTTGTTTTTAGATTTGTAATCTTTTCTGATCAAGAACCCAGTAATCAATCAACAGTTCGATAAAATGTAAGTTTTTATCAAATAGTTTGTATTCAATTTAAAAGATTTAAGATGATATTTTATTTTTCATCATATATGAGATAGATAAAATATTATTTAAGTAGAAAAAGCAAAAAAAACTTTTAGTTTTATAATTCTAGTTCAAATTCGTTTCTTGATTTGCCTTATCGTTTTACCCTTTCCTATGCTCAAATTATTGTAAATCAAATTATGGACTTTCTATTAGAAATCAAACTTTCCATTCTAATTTTTGGCTAGCCTATTTATATTTCTCATATAATTATTATTCAAGTCTCAAATGTCACCCATATCATTAGCTTATTTTTTTTAACCTTAATAGACTTATATTTTCTTTTCATTTCTCTTCCAAAATTTCAATTTTTAAAGGTTTTCTGTAATTAGAAGTCATTTTATAAATATTTTAATTAATAAGATTTTTGGAAGCTTCAAATTAAGTTAAGATTAAGTAAAATTAATAAGCTCCTCCTTAAAAAGGGTCTTTCCTAAATTTTTAATTTTATTTTATTATTTTTAATTAATTTTTAATTCTATTTAATTATGTTTTGAAATATACTCGACCATTTCTCATCAATTTTAAGAGCCAGAAGATGTAATTAGATTTATGAGAGAAATATATTTTTAAAGCCACTTTGGTGAAATCTTAAAACTTTCAAAACAAAATTATCAGTAAAGATATACAACTAATTATTATAAATTTTAAATTTATTTATCATCATTAATTTATTTCTTGACAAAAATTTATCAACTTTAAATTTATTCTAAATGAATGTTTGTTAATAAAATATAAACATTGATCAATATCATAAATCATCTCAAAGTATCTAAGATTCTTGTCTTTAAGTCTATATTCTCCAAAATTAGTTCTCTTGTTCTTCATCAGGCCTAGAACAAATTCTGGAATGATTTCCAAAAGTTGAAAATTAACTTTATCTTCTATTATGCTCAGAATATTTTAAGGATCTTCCCTTCAAAGAGTATTATAAAATCATTTAATGTAGCTAATGACTATTTTCTCTTTATTGTTATTATTCTTACTTAAACCTAAAAAATTGAAATATTTTCTTTACTTTCTAACTTTTAAATTTTCCCTTGCTAAAGTTAATAAGTATTCTTTTAAAATTCTAAATCTTTTTTAAATTCTTGTAAATTTACTTTAACTTGTTTCAAAGATTTTCTAAATTTTAGGTTTAGACCGAAGGTTAAGTGGAAGATAGGTGAATAATTTTTATTTGATGCAATCTATTTTATCAAAAATTCTTTTAAAGTATGCTAAAATTATAGAAAAAATTAATTTAGTGATGTAATAACTATTGAGGCCTCCAATAATAATATAAAAAGGCCAAGTTATTTCATTAAGATTTTACTACTAAGCAGAATGAATAGAACATGCTAAGACGATTGAAATAGCACAAATAATGATTGATTGTTAATCTAAGATATTCAATTATTTAGTCATATAAGGATTAATTGATTTGGCAAAGTGACTATAAGAAAATAACAACAGAAAAATTAAAGATGCTTTGATAGTAATTTAATCATCATAATAAATTCGAGACAATATTATTAACTCCTTTTAAATTATTTTAATTGTTTCCCAAAAATAGGCTTTTTTGATATACTCATGATATAGATATCCCCAAGTCTTACGAGTGGTTGTTTTGTCAAGTTTTTGCCTATTTTTATAAACTCCATACCAAAGAATAGTTGGAATTGTAATGCATAATATGATTAACAAAGGAATATCAAAAGCAATAATCCATTTAAGATGAGAAGATGTATCATATCTGTAAGACACATTGCTTGAAATCCAAAATTCATCTGAAATTTTTCTATAGGATAACAAAGAAATAAGTTGTCCAATTAAATTTGGTTGGAAATAGATAAACAAATAAATTAGTGAGATAGTAATAAATGAAAAATCATGGTGAATTATTTTGAGTGCAATTGCTAAAGCACCTAATCCAATAAATATTAGAATATATGATAACGCCATGATTAAACTCCAGATAACTCTGAAATATATAATTAATATATCAGTAATTGAAACTAAGTAGCAATCAAGAGAAAAGGCCATAGATTCAATAGGATTAGCACAACTATTAATAATAGCTGATAATCCAGGTGGCAATTCTAATTAAAATGTAAAGAGAGTAGAAATTATTTATAAATAGTTGGTCAAAACTTTTATTAGTATTGCAGTTGATATTTGTTTGATTGGAAATTTAACCCCAAATAATCTTAATCTTAGCCCAGCTATAAATTCTGTAACCATTTCTGAAGTACTGCTCACAGAAATTAAAGTAGACAATAATGTCCATAAGATTACAAAAGTGATTGAAAGTATATTATAAATAGTTATGTTACAATTTAAACATTAATAAGCAGAACTTAAATAGAATGACCCTTAGCCTCTTGTATTATAGAGATCACACTATTCACACAACGCGCCAATATGTCCTACTATACAAGATTTATCTCCTGGTTTCCATCCACCTTAACAATTTTTAGGGAAGTGATAGCAATATTCAATATTTTAACTATAGTTATAGGCTCTCCAATAATATTATCTTAATTCAATCATTGAAGATTCTATCAGTCTAATTTTCGTATCGTCTTTGTAACTGCAATTTAGGGCTTTTCTAGTTACTTAATATTAATTTTGAAATTTATCACAAATCATACACCCTCCAGTTGTCTGATTTAGAAACTCACCTAATTAACATTAGAATGTTCTGATGTCTACAAGTAACTTGTAATTATTATTCTAAGACTGAATAACATATGGTGGATCCTTATTATAAAATGGTACTGATATTTCATTGCACTCAATTGAAATCCGAAGAACCAAGTCCTAATCATAATTTGGATTCCAATAGATGACTAAATCATCTAAATTATAATCTCCAGTGTTGTTATCAAAAAAAGCATGATATTTCGATAGACTATATGTAACGTATGTAGCTTCTGATTATGAAGTTAAATTAAATGCCATAGGTTTTAATGTGCAACTTGAATCATATAAACCTTTATTTTGATTGTTGAATTTATCTAAAGCTATGATTCTAAAAGTTAAATTGTAAGGGATAAAAGAGTATGTGTACTCATCAAAATATTGATATGATTAAATACTTCTTCCTGATGGAAGAGTCAATTAATTTACTTTAGATTGATACCCTAAAATCTTATAAGGAATGATTCTTATTTATTCAATTATTTCATCCTTGTTTTTTTTTATAAATTTCTTTTCTAATAGAGTCTTACCTCCATCAATTGATATTGTCAATGAGCGTGGCTTTTCAAAAATATTTTATTCATATTAAGTTGAATTATTGTCTGCAAACTCAATTTCTAATTCTTTAGTTAATTGAAGAGATTAATTATTAAAAAACACTGCACCAGCTATTGAGGCTCGATTATTAAAAAATTTAGTTCTGAAAAAATACAATTATTTCTATTTGGAAAAAAAATAAATAGCCCCTCCAATTTAAGCAAAATTATTGTAGAACTAGCTGTTTGTAATAAAAACATCGATTTCTTAAATAAATAAAGATCCTCCAAAATGTGCAGAGTTATTTGAAAATATACAATTAGAAATAATTGTTAAGTAATCTAAGTTAAACATAATATCATCAAGCTTTTTATATTATAATAGGCGATCACTTTAGAATAGTTCATTATGAAATAACAAATCATCCTAATTTTTCAAGATTGATAAACATCCTATTAGCCCACAAATGCAATTTTAAATTCTTATTGACTAAAATTACAAAGATTCAGATTTTGATATTTAAATATCTACAATTTAAAATAATCCATATATGCAATTATTACAATTTACATCCTACATAAATAAATCATTCACAATAACTTAATGAGCATTATCAATTTATTTTATTTTTATTAAACTAAAATTAAAAGGTTGATCTTAAAATATTAAAAACTAATTGCAAAGTAACTAATTTTTTATCAAATGGATATTATCTATTATTTGTGCTGACCATGATTTGGTAGGTAGTGATAATGGACATTCTAGAACTGAGCTTTTGACCTATTCAATTTCTTAACATTCTCCTTCCTTGATTGATTTTTTAAATTAGTCTATATTTAAAAGATAAAGATTTTGGATTATAATTTTTCCAAAAAATTCTAAATTAATAAATATATTTACTTTCCTTCAAATTTAACTCAATCAGA